AGTACGCAATCTGTCGCGTCTTGCAAGATTTAGGGTTACAGCTTAAGATTCTAAAGGTATTTCCCTTAACGACGATCACCATGATTATTTAGAAACATTATTACCATATTCATCATTACCATTATCATATTCAGTAACAGCACCGGTTACGGCAGCAATAGCAGCATGAAGAGATAGTAATAATTACATTATCAATACAAAATGAGATAACGACAGTGATAATCGACATAGCACTGGCAACAACTATAATGGAGACATAAATATAATATCAGTTTATTTGAAAACCAAAACACGCTTCGAAATTGGCACGGGGACCCTCCTCTCCCAAGTGCAGCGGACACTGCAGTTGCCACTTCTTTTTCGAGGACAGCAAGCCGACGATCAGCAAAGGGGATCCTCGCGTCTGGCAACACACTCAGGCACGCGCATACGAACACACACATCCATGAGCGCGTGCACACGCACACGCTCACACACACACACACATATGCACATGTACGCATAGCCACACACGCTCACGCGCACACAGTTACACACGCACATACGTGTGTGTATGTGTGTGTGTGTGTAAATGCGATTGTACACTGTACCCGAAATTTAAACAAAGCTGATACTAAAAGTTTTCTCTTATTAATAAGCCAATCTTTATCTTGTAAACAATTACTGGTTTATACCAACAAGCAATTAAGATCATTTTTAATCATCATTATTGTCATCATTATCTGTTGTTTGCAGCGATCATCATCACCATCATTACTAGTAATATCATCCTCATTGTAAACAAACCGTGATGTTCGTTGTTGTTGAAATTATTTTGATGCTTGATTGCACTTATAATACCACTGCAACAGCCACCATCAACATACCAGCGATCACGCACTAGCACTGTATTCACCTCATGGCACCACAAAATCACAGTAAACCCTTGAGTCGGATGATTGATATTGATATTCATACTAGTAATAATAGTCACATGTGAAAGACCATTTCAGAAGGGACAAGAATAAATGCCATAATAAATGAAATTTAAAAAGAAATATTCAAAATGATTAGAAATTAGAACACCGGTCGTTTCGATAGAGGTTCGCTGTTTGGTGTGGGAAACTGGGGCACCAATTCCCAGAGTGCAAGTTGTTAGCCCTATTACATATCCCGAGAATACGCTGATATGGCTCTAAAGTTAATGGTAAAGACAAGTAAAGGCATGTTCATTACGTAGATACATTGTTGGGGGCCCGGAGGATAGGTCACTCGAGGGGCCCCCGGTAGGTAAGATAAAAATTTACATTGCAAAATCAAAATACCTGTTCATCATTTGAACCGAAATTGATACTTCTCGTAACTATCATCATTATTGTTATTATTCAGATTATCATTATCATTGTTGTTATTATCATCATTATTTCTATTCCGTCATTATCATTATCATTATTCTTGCTGTCATCATTGTTAATGTTATTAGTATTATTATCATTATTTTAATTTTTATCACATTTTAATTCTACTTCTGTTACGTTCGTTCATCCGTTGGTTCGCACGCTTCGCCTCAGCGATTACCTGGGTGCAAGGCAAGATCGCTGCAGTGAAATCGTTGGCGCTTGAATGTACAGTTGCGGAATTGTATTTTTGTACATTTTCTGGGTCCCACTTTTGTACCTTTGGCAAGCAGTCGAGGTAAACATAGCGTAAATAGTATTTTTGTGAATGAGGCTAAAACCCTAAGTAGTTTGTAACAGAGAGTGTGATTGGTCGAAAATAAGTAACTAATGAGTGTATTAATGAATATTTTTTAAAACTAAGTAAGCCATTTGATTTTTCGCTTTCTTCCAATAAGTGATAAAGAACAAGGCATTTAATGTTAGTTATCGTTGACTTTGTTGTTGGATATTCTTCAAATGCGATATCCTGGCATTGTTTGCTTATCCAATTGGCAACATCTATGATGGGGAGGCGGCATTTCATACTCCTTACAACCTAAGAAGTATCGTTTATAGATACATAATTCATAAAACAGGAAAAAGTTTCATGCTTTGAACATTTATGTATGGTAACTAAATTACCTAAAACTGTAAAATCCCTAAGACCTCTGTAAATACCGTTGATACTTGCATAATCTAATAGCAGTTTATATTTATGCCAGAGTCAAACACATATTGAATAAACACAAACCGTGCTAAATTAGATTTTTCAATACAGAACGTGAACAAAATCACAATTAGGTTACATTGAATATGTAGATTCGTTATCGATGTGTGTGTGAGTGTGTGTATCGTCTATGGAAATATGACGTCGTGCTTGGTAATGATCCATTTTACTTCTATTTGCCAGTGCATTGCAATGCAATATGTGCGCAGGTGTAGATGATATTAGCATATCAAATCTTTACATCAAATTCATTCTCTTTATACATTATCCAAGAAGTAATGATTTCCCGGAACAATGTAGAAAATAACACGAAGTCGTATATTTCATCTCTTATGCCCATGAATATTCATCAATTCCTGAACATCCACTTCGCTGAAAAAATACATGTCCGATGGTCTTAGACGTCATAATAACATGAGAAATCCGAGGTCAAAACGAGGCTGCCAAGCTGACACCTTTTTCAGGATGGACGCAAAGAAAGCTGTGATCTGAAATAGGCTGCTACAATGAGGTGGCATAGCTCAGTGGTAGAGCGCTGGCTTTGCAATCGCATGGTCCTGGGTTCGCGCCCGGCTGCCCCTCTCAGTCGACTCAGCTGTGAATGAGCACTGGTATGCTGACGTCAGCATGCTAGGGTCAACGTCGGTGCAGAAAGGAACAGATCACCCTACTGCATCATGTCGCGGCTTAGTAAGCATGTTTCTCTACAAAACATGTCCCTTACGTCCAGATGGACAGCGAATACACGGAAAGCTCCATTCCTGAATGGAATTAAAGGTGTAAATGTTAGCCCTTTTCAATATTTCAGAAATCAATTTATTTCAATTTACTATATAGATATTTGTTTATACAGAACAGTTCCC